TCTCTCTCTCTCTCTCTCTCTCTCTCTCTCTCTCTCTCTCTCTCTCTATGTGTGTGTGTGTGTGTGTGTGTGTGATTTCGGGTTCGTTTGAGAGAGTCGACTTTTTCCCGTTGAAGGAAGGATTTCCGCATGACGAACCATCATTGCACTCGAGCTGCATACAAATCTCAGACTTTTTTTCTCCCTCGCTTGAAATACAGATATGTGGCGGGTGGCGCGAACAAACGGCACAAAGAAGTCCGTAATAGTAAGTAAAGTTCAGTGTTTTTCCGGCGATAAGTGCAGCAGCATCGTAGCAGTTAATTATTTGTGTTTTCCTTTTCTCGTATTTCTTTTTGCTCATGGTACAGACGTTCATTGCATTGATTTCCCGTAACAGTTAATTTTCCGTTTTCGTCGCTTGTTTTTTTCTCTGCTTTGGTTGCTCACAGCAATCGCTCTTATTCCTGTTTGTAATTTGTGTCAACACACACAGTCAGTGCACAGAGACACCGTAATGCAGATAGAAAGAGAGAGAGAGAGAGAGAGAAAAGCGCGATATAGAGTTAATTATTTTCACATAATGGAAATAAATGTGTAATGTGAATACACATTGGAGCGCCACTCGAGTGCACTGCATGCATTCCAAATCGTATCCATACGTGAATGAATCAAGATTTATGCACGTATTCGACGAAACGTCGAACGATGCGAATAAAAAATACAGTCATTCATAGAGTTGGTGCATGTGTGCAGTTTTAGTTCGCAAGTGACTGTGCATTTATTCGCAGAAAATTTATAGTTTGTTATGAAACAACCTTGGCGATGCAAGAAATTCGACACAAGACAAAGTTGCAGTTTTTGTCTCTGTCTCTCTCTCTCGCTCGCTCTCTCTGCCTCTTCAGTAAACGAGCTGACAACAAACGAGCATAAGAGGTAGAAGAAGAAAAAATGTTGTAGCGTAAATAACGTTAGCATTAGCACTGCATTCGAAATATGAGACGATAACTCAAAGTTATTCCATAGATTGAACAACTAAAATGCCGTTACCCGGTGATACATTTCGATGGCAATCGTCGTCTGATGCTCAAGTGCAACAGCGCACAAAACGTTCATTATGTCGTTGTGTTTTTCTCCATGCTTTGTTTTTCGCACACATTCTCACGCTCTCTCAGCTCACACTCTCCTTTTCTGACACTTACCCATGGAGCAAAAATAAGCAGACGAACTAGGCAAATAATATTTGAACAATGACAACGATTCACCAAAATCATTTGAACTCGCTCTTCGTTACAACATCCATGTACATCTTAAATGGAGTTTGCGGTATGTGTTCGCTCACAATGCACCGAATTCAAGTAAACATTAGATTTTGTATGCGGGGTAAAAAAAGGCAATCGATTTAACAAGAATGTAAAGCACCCTTGTCGACCAACAAATAATCTTGGCAGCGTTGTGTTGTTTTTCTCATCTCTCTCGCTGCCACACGCTAACACATTCTCGTCTCGTGTGTCTCTTGTTGCATGGCAAAAAGTCGTCGAAGCATCACGAGTGGCTAGATCCCCAACTCGTTGCGATAGCAAAATGTGCCAGATAAAATCGATAAATCGTCAGGCTCTAGATTTTTCATCCTTGTGTGCGCTTGTGTATGCGGGAACATGTTCAATCACACGACGAATCCTCTCATCTCGACCCGAAACCTATGCTCTGCAACTATCACATGATTGTGTGCTCACTGCTCATGCATCGAGATATATTTGATGGTGCTGTGCATGAGAGACTGAGAGAATGAGAGAGAGAGAACGAGCTGGATGATATAATAACCTCACTGTATATTCTCGCACAAATGCATTTGGCCAGCTTAGCAGCAACCGTCGAATGCTAAACGATGCTGTTCGCACGCGGTGCACATGGCAAAAACTCTATGAGAGACATACGCTTTCGTTTATGGCAATGATAACATGCACATTATCCATTTCGGTTTTTGGCTCTTGTGCCCCAACAACTGTACTGAATAATAACAAGCGCTTGTGAACGAATTTGAAACGTGGCAACAACAGCAGTAGTTTAACTGTTTCGAATTTGCCGCGAATGCGAGCGGAGGAGTGTGAGAGCGAGCGCGCACACACCGAGTACCAAAAATTCAATCGCTTGCAAATTTCACAGCGAGAACAATACGTTGCTCATAATTCCCATGTAGCTCTTTCAAGCCCAAAATTGGAAAATGAGTCACTTGTGATAACAAGCGCTGACCTCGTCCGATTGCCGGATTTCGTACTAACAACACTGCTGCTGCTGCTGCTGCTGCTGCTGCTGCTGCTGCATACACACATTTTTATCAAAATGTGAGTGCGTATAATTGGTAAATGCAAAGGCCGTTTCAAACATTCAATTATAGACGCTGTACATGCTGCGCGATAAGCTGCTGTCAATTCAGTCGGAATGCAATTTTTCGAAAGATGCCCGATAAACTTTTGTATTTCTATTGCGAACACCCGACGTAGATATATGTTTAGATAAATTGATTTCACGCTTAACAGTAACAATGCATTTTATTGATCTGATAGCGGAGAAAAGGCGAAAAGAAGAAACTTACAACAACAATCAAACGCGATTTCAATAAAAACTCAAACCATAACATCGTAATGGCGATCGTACACAGAGCAAACAGAAAAAAAAACCATCAAAATTATTTTTAAAATACTAAACATTAATAAATCTATCGATAAAATGGCAACAGCTATTTGTCATTACGATGAAGTTGTTTGGGTTAATTACAGGCCGCATGTTTGCTTGTTTTTCGTTCGTTAACTCACTCACTCACTCACTCCCATCGTCGCGCGTGTTGCGCTGCACAGCGCACTGGGTGCGCGCACGCGGTCGTTTATCGATAACTTTACAGTGATTTGTTATTATAATGGCTTAAACATTGTAATTGTAAACGTGATGTATTGGAAAACAACATGAAATTATCGCTAAAGTACTCACCAGGTGTATTGATTCGTTCGATTCGGTTCATTCGATGGTGTTGGTAAACAATGCAATAAGCTTGTGAACTGCAGTCGATTGAATGTTTCAAATAACGGCTACTCGATGTTTTGACGTATGCCGAACTGGATTGGGGCTGTACGTATTCGTTCTTGTTTTTTTCCTTGTTTATTAAATTAGCGTGTGTTATCACTGTTATCGCCTATTTTGTCCGTAATGTCAATAAACAACATAAAAATAAAACAAAGAGCGTAATAAATAAAGCAACGTGGTCTCTCCGGCCTCTCTACTAAATGATACACACACAATCACTCTTTTCCAAAATACATAACACTTTGGGGCAACGCACTGTTGTTGCGGTATTTGCACATGCTTGCCATATCTACATTAAATGAAATGTGTGAAAATTTGTTTTTCTTGTCCACACTTGTTAATGGGATTTTTGCGGTATGTTTTTGCTTTGTTTTGGCGTTACCAATTCTAGAATACTTGCTTGCAACAGAACAATTTTTTTGCTGCTGTTAGGATTTATCGTTTTGCATGAGCTCGCGTCTTTTTTTTTATTGCTGAGCTGGAATTACATCAAACGGTGTTGGCATCAGTATCAGCAATCAAGATTTTTCCGTCTCCCTTTTCATTGTTCTACTTCGCAGCGTATGTGTGTATATGTGTTATTGCCCGCAAACAAATGCCGATTCACTCTTTCGGGCACTGTGTTTGCATTTGCGAGGTCAATACTTCTGTGCAACGGACTGTAAAGTCAAACGAGATAGAAGATTTTTTTTTCTTTCTCTCTCTATCTAGCCTTCGGTCTGCACAAGGAAGATCCCCTTTCGCAACGGAATGTGGCCAAGTAGAAAAATTAGATGTTAAATGAATAAATTAGAACGGACCTATCGTCGAATCAATGAATATACACACATACAGGATGCACACCGCTTGAAGAAAAGAGTAAAAATTTCCGCTCGTATATCCGTTATCATGAACATAACAGAGAAAAAAAATAATCCGAAACACAAATTACACTTTACGCCGCACTGCAAGTGATTGTATCGAAAGAAAAAAGAATGTGTTGCAAATTTGTTTAGACAAAATGTGTTTTGGAGCGATCGCTTTTTGTCACTTCGGACTACGGAAATTAGAAGAAAAAACGCAGCCGGATTGTTCAATGCTTTGAGCAATGTTTACGGAACGAAAGGAACACTTGTCAGAGCTTCAACGTACAGCGTGCTACAAATGGTTTTGTTGTTGCTGTCGTTGGCGTCGTTGTCGTCGCGATGGTGTGTCCTTGCCGTTCTAGTATGCGTTCGGTGTGAAACTGACACACAAATACACACACAGAGAGACAGAGCAAATGGTCGTTTTCCACTTTATCCGATAAGACCAAAACAATGTTTTTCTCTTAGTTTTTCTTTTTTCTCTGCTACTTTTCCCCCTTTTCTATCCTTTTTGTATCTATTCTTGAGTTATAGTTTTTGCGGAAGAGTTCGAATGATATATAAAAGCGTCGAATGAAACGAGCGAATAACAAATCGATTTTCCTTCAGCCAACAGACACACGAGCAAAAATTTCTATTTTTAATCAGCGCTTTAAGTCATTGGAATATGGACACACAGATATGCGTCACATCATCCTTCAAACATTTTTATTTACAGAATCAATTGAAAATTCATACGTAAATTCTCTCTCACACACTGTCGCTCTTACTTTAATTTCGTCTCTATGTAGCTATTTTAATTTTTTTTCATTCATTTATCTTTACACAGAAAATGCGATTTGTCAGTCTCTTATTGAATCATTAAGTCGCACACAGAGATGTTTCTTTCTTTCTGTCGTCTAGCACCAATCAGACAAAATACTAACAATTCATTTGAATAGTAATTGCTTTGCTTTTGTGTGCTTTGATTCACACGGCCATAATATTCATTTCAATTTTATTTGACTTGTCGGCTTTTGCATTGCGATTGGCAAACGACAACAACAACGACGACACACAGAAATTTTAATCACCGCGAGAGTTCAAGTTTCCTTTTCCAATACGTTTGTTTCTTCTTTCTTTGTTTTGGACGACGTAGATTTTGTTTCACGCAATATTTATTACAATAGGAAGTTCTTGATGACAATTTTATTTCGTTACACGAGCATTTCCTCGCCACTTATTATTGTTATTATTCACCAAACACACACTGAACAAACTATTTGGATTATAATTCGCGTGTAAGAGCACTTTCTTATCGGGTTAATTCGATCAAGAAAAATATATTTCGTTACTGCTTTTTTTCCCCTTTTCCATTGGTTGATTATATTATTATTATTTTTTCGTTCGCGAGTTTATATTTCTTTTCTTTTTTCTTTCACTTTGGAAGTTATGAGCACATTGTGCGCGTGGTGTATGTAATTTGACGAACGATGCACGGTGAAGACTCACAGCGCAGTAACGTTGTGAAACAAAGCAAAACATATATAGGCGATGGTTTATCGGTACTTCTACTGCTGTCTTGATTCCTACGAACCATACCGTACTACCGCACTTTATACACCCAGCTACGCTCAGCTGTAGAGATTTTTCATTCGGTTCATACGTTTGGATTTGCTATTTGGTTCCCACTCACTCGCAACACACTGTCGAAACGGCACTTGGCAACCGTATGCTCGCCACACTCGCTCCACTCCATAAGCAATGCGAGTGGGAAAGAGCCAACCGGAGTTGTATCGATCGAAACGTTTCACTGTGTGCGATGACAGCAACAACAACAAGACGGCGTCGCAATGCTCACTATGTCAGTCGCCGTGTATGTGTGGGTATTTTGTTTACTTGCACTGTTTTCAACAGATTCTGGCGCTGATTTTTGCCTCTGCCAGCTAAACCTAAAAACAGAATCAACGATTCGCAGTGTGGTCGTAAGCTTTGTACTGTTTGTCGCACATGGAGTTCGCACTCTATCTCTTGCTCAATTGTCATATGTTTTTGGTTTACTGCTGTTATTGTATGTACACAATATCTTTTCAGCGTTGTATTTTAAACACGCACCGCAAAAAATAAAAACAACATCAAGTAAAAACTAAATGATTTTTTGTCTATTTTCGGATGGTCGCTCCGTGTATTTGATTCTGTTTTCTTTTGTATTTCTGCCATTCATTACTCGCAATGCGAGTCTCGCATTCGTATATATACACACACGTCGTCGTTGTGCGCTAACCTAAATTACGGTACTGTTCATAGTTCAAGTTGAAATTGATTCGTTCAGCACTTAATGTTTACTGCTTATTGCTTGGCATGTAAACAAACACTTATAACCATATATACCAACATTCATTATATGCGTGTGCAATTTGAGACAGAGAGAAGGAGAGAAAGAGAAGCTCCGCACAAAATCTGTTGTACAGTGTGTATACATATATACAGGCTACAAATCAAATTCCACTTATCAGTCCGAGTTTAGACGAGAGCTCACCGAGAAAAATACGCTTCAATATATTTTGGATGTCATTTAGATCTTTCATTGGTTTTTGTTGGTGTTTGTTTGTGTGTGTTTCTCTCTCACTCCCTCTGTGCTGCCAAATCATTATGGATTTAAGACCGTTGACAGCACATAAACGCTCGATTTGTCTATTTTTAAGAGTGTCATCGAAAAAATTGCGAGTGAACAACCGCATTTATCCGTCACATATTACATGTGCTGCTGTATGTTTTATTGGTGTGCATTTGCCGAGCAAGTTGCAATAAACAAACAAATCAGTTGCAATACGAATATGTAACATGAGGTGAAATGTAAAATGGGAAAAAAAATTATGATTACAACAACAACAACAACCGCAAATAGAGAGAATGATTAAAAAATCTCAAGTGTTCGGGGGTAGAGCACATAAAAAAATTGACGAACTCAGTGAATTCGAAGGCAACTGTGGTCTTAATGATGGGAAGCGACACATGAAAGCCACAATCTAACGGTTATATACACGTACGTGCGCTATCTATGCCGATATTTGAAAATAATTACACTTAAGCTGACGCACAGCAAAATTTATTACACCGCACAATAATCCGGGGCCGTTGAAGTCAACTCGCTTGCTGATGATGACGGCGATGGCGATGGCGGTGGCGGCGACGACGATTTGTTACTGTATTCGCTGTTGTTGTCGTCGTCGTCGTCGTTGGCTATCTGTCTGATGAGAAACAAAATGTGAAACAGACGTGGATGGGTACCAGCTTCATATAACCACGTTCATTATTCCAATCGCATCAACCTAAACGAAAAACTCACACTCGTGAGACAAAATCGCGCCTAAAACAGACACCGTGACCCAACCAGCCCATTATTCTTTCGCTTTTCATTGTGTATTGTGTAGGCAATAATTTTGATATGACATTTTCCTTGCGATGCGATTTTCGTGCACTGCATTTTCGCTGATGATTTCATGCGCGCTGTGTGAATGTGGTGATTTTCACAGATAATTTAAAATTGTCCATTATATGGCAAAGCATTTTGCATTTTGCATTTCGCATTTCGCATTTCGCACACCGAATGCCGAAACCCACGGTGAATCGACCACGCTCGCTGGCAAACGACACACACACTCACCGTCAACTGATGCGAACAATGAACTCGATAAGGAAATTATGGGAAATTGTACAAGTTAATGACGGTACACCGTCCCAATAATGTGTCTCTCTTTGTGTATAGCTGCTGAATGTATATCAGTAAAAAATGCTAGAAAATTCGAGCGAAAATATCCACCAACCAATGGAACATCAACTGAATTTTAAGAGAGGGATAGAGACTAAACTAACTGCGTGAGCACTTATCATTTCGAACTAAAATTACCAAATTCGAACAATTGCAGCAATTAAGTAAAGAGCACGTAATGGAAACGTACAGATGAACAGAAAAAAATCACACAGAGATGTAGAGAGTAAACGAGACGAAAGATAGGAAAAAAAACTGCGAGCAAAACGAGACTAACTTTTTAATTTGATTCGATTCAAATTACTTATTTTGGCTACACTTCATTACAAATTGCCCGGTTTGAGTTGCAAGTGAAGCGCTCTGTGTGTGTCGGTTCGTTTTGTCATTTTTCCATTTAATTGACTTTCGCCGAACTTTGTGTCATTTTCGGAGTGCACAGAGCGCAATGTCAAAAAACAGACATTGGATTGCCATTTGAGATCGAGAGAGTGAGATATGGTAAATAGAGATGAAAAATAATTAGAAAAACAAGCACTATGCACGAGAAGGAGCGAGAAATGGCTCTATTTCTCTCTTGATGACTTTGATTGTACTCAATTTGTTTACGATTAAATCCAAACTTTCAATTCAAACAAAACCATTCAATTTGGTGAGAAGAAGAAAGGAAATAATATTTTTTCTACTCAACTCGAGCGAGTTTCGAATGCGATTTGCGTGCAATTGTTTTATGATTTGGCAAAATGGTTATTTTCCAAATCTGCGGAGAGAGTGCGAGAGCAAGAGCGAGAACTGAAACGTAGGCTTAAAAATGGACTTATAAACTATTTGGAATTTAGACATTGCTGATGCTGAACAACATTTGGCTTAAAAGCCACAGTATTGAAATTCGAATTGTGTGTGCAGCGGTCAAACCACGAAATTGTATCATTGAATTGCCCATTTGCATGCCATGCACATGAGATGCTGCCGCCGCCACGAATGCTACTACTACATATGCCCTGCTGCTTGGTATGTTTTTGCTTGTACATTAAACATTTGTCTGGATGTTATTCTCGCTCAACCTATCTCCCTCGCTCTCGTTCGGTTATTTGAATGACAGAATTGTTTTGGTGAGTGATTTTGTTGTTTTGGCTTCGTCGAACTGTACCCAAAATATTGCGTAAATATGCATCGCTGCGTGTGCGTACGCGCGCTTGCTTCCATTCCAATGAATTATGTGTGTTGATAAAATAAACGGTTTTTGTTTCTGACTGAATGACAGAAAAAGAGAACATTCACATTTAAATGTGTGTGTGTGTGTGTGACTCCATTCTGTCAAATATACTATATCTTATATATGTTTTGTATGGGCGAATGAAGAACGTAGTATGTGGCTTGCTGGTGTTGTTGTTGTTGCTGTGAAATGTGTAGATAGCAGAATTTTGCGGTTTTTCACTTAATGAAAGTAAGCATTGATTGTCTCTATTTGAGTGAGCAGCTAACCCCGGCAGCGATATACAAAGTAGCAGCAGAATCAGCAGCACCAACAATACAACAGCGAACACACAATTATTTCGAGATGAAAATAACAATTTCCAAATGACATCTAAATATGGAGAAGGGTCTTTTGTTTTCCATTTTGCTTACATGGTTGATACATAGAACGAAGCGAGAGAGCGGAGTATTTGTCATACGATGAGAAAATTGATGGCGATACACACACACACACACATGCCAGAATGACAGAGAGAATAGAACATTGCCAAAGATGGTAAACGGCATACAGAAGAAGAGCAGCAGAAACAAAAAAAATCGAAAACACGAATATGTTATATATTTTAACATGACGATACACACAAGCATTCAACCTCACTCATTCTCCCACAAAATATCTAAATGATTGCAGTGGAAACAGCAAATTCTCATGTAATTTATGGATTGATCGAACATATTTCGTACGAATGAAATTTATATTCGCCATTCCGTTAGGTTCTACTATTTTTTTATGCTCTAGTCTTTCTCCTTCTCTCTACATTTCTCTCTAGCATTTGAAGTCATCGTTTTCGATTTGCCGCGCTGACCATTCTATATCTTGTTTTGTGTTTTTGTGTTCGGTCGGAGCAACCGAACCAACGAAATATGTTGCACGTATATGTGTGGCTATGGTCGTTCTTTTGTTTCCAGCATTTTATTTATGTACGTTATTATTTGTTATTTGCGCTTAATGCCACTGCCACATTATGTTTCGCAGAATCTCCAAGCAACAAAATGTGTACGCACACATTCCTCGTGTGTATGTCACATACGATATGCATTTGTATATTGAGTATGAGTAGAGCGAGAGGCAATGGGAGACGAAGAGCAACCGAGAGAGAGAGTGAGAGAGAGAGAGTGGCTGCGTGAATTGTAAAATACATTGTCAAATGGAATGAAATACATAAAGCGCTTCAGCCACAGACAGAATGACACAATCAGATATTAGGATTTTATTCCGTTGTTTCATATTATAAATTAACCATTGAATTGGGCAATATTATAGTGGTTAAGTGTTTCTGATGTGAGCAAATGCGTGATTTGTGAAAATACGTATGCTGTGGCAACGGTGGCGGCAGAAAATTGCATTCGGGTTTTGCTGGAGGAATGAAAGAGACCGAGTCTCAGAGAGAGAGAGAGAGATGGAGTGAATGGCAATCCAGCGAAAATGAGATGGCACAAACATGCCAATAGATAAGGTCCCCAGCGAGCAGTTATCATTTCGCTTGGAACCGACTATAATTTCATGCAAAATTTGTGGGATTTGCGTGTACGCTATTCACTACTACATATATATATTTTTTGCATTCTTACTCTGCAGAGTTATTTGTGGTGTGTGGAGAACGACTGATCTCTGTTTTGGATTGATGGATAATCCTCTGGTCATTCCGGAGTGAAATATGTGTGTATGAACGATTTTTTTTCTGCTCGTTGTTGGCATCACTTTTCTTGGTTTGTGTGGTGTGTGTCGTTTTGACAAAAGGATGAAACGTGTTAAAATCCCATTTAAATCGAATATGTCACAACTATCACAGCTGGTGATCGCGATGTGCTAAGAAATGCTAAGAATTAAACAAGAGCGTGCTGTACATACACAGAGATGAAGAAAGTGACCCTTTTTCCTGATAAAAATCAACAAACCAAATCTTCTTCAGTTACAGTTCATTCAACTGGCAATTTCACCAAGCGAATGCGCGCATTCGTTCATTCGCATTTGCGTTCGCACCCGCGCAACACACACATTGTAATCCATTGAGCAATAACAATTCATAAGAACAGCGATTTGCTCGGGCAATTCATTGCCTTAAATAGCTCAGAGAGTTGATGGTCGTATAAAAGTTATAACAAGCTGATTGAATTAAATATATGCAACTGTCCATTTGATTACCGACTTTAGCTCGTCTTTTGCTCTCTTCTTCTTCTTCTTCTGCTGCCGCTGCTGCTGAAATCGGGCGAGTGCATGTGATCGTTGGCTTGGGCTTGA